CTTTTTGAATCCTAGCCACCAGCCAGCCATAGACAACCATAGACACCCACAAATTCCACAATCATCCAAAAATAAAACCCTAGATCTACAAACCACCGTCGTTATAGCCGCCAAAATAAAAACCTAGATCTGCAAAACTGTCACCATAGCCGCCACCACCTCCATATTCATCGCCTCCCAACCCTTTCCTATCTCCATAACCACCCACATCGTAACTGCGACCACCATCGCCCCTAACCGCCTCCATAGCTACCTCCACCATACCCACGGCCTCCATAGCCGCCGCCACTCACCACAACTGCCTCTGTAACAACTTCCACCATATGCACCGCCTTTATGGCCGCCACCATTCACCATGACCGCCTCCATAACAACCCCCACGTTACCCGCCACCTCCATAGCCGCCTCCATGACCACCTCCACCGCCGCCATAGTCGCCATAGCCACCCACCATAACTGGGAGCAAGAGAGATAGAGAGGGAGAGAGATAGAGACAGAGAAAGAGCAACATAACGAGAGAGACATGACAAGAGAAAGAGAGAGAATAAAAGAAAAGAAACAGATCTGGATTGGACAGACGTAAATAGAGGTTATTTTTATTGTATAAGGGCAAGTTAGGAATAAAAAAAAATTAGGAATGTGACATATTATATTCTAAAATAGGGATATATATTTTAAAAAAAATAGTTTGAACTTGTCATTTAATTCTAATTAAATTGATTACGAGCGACCCAAGCATATTAACCCTTTATTAATAAGATTTGAAAAGGAAATCATCAAAACGAAATAAACCCTAATATAAAACATACAAATAAGCAACGATAAATTATTTGTTTTCTCCCCTCCGAAGGAAATGATTGTAGAGAGTTAGAAAGAGTGCAATGGTTCAACTATCAGTTAAAAGAGAGACGATAAACATATTTTCTGTACAGTACTGTCTGCTGGTATCTGAGCATATATCGTCCCCATCCAATTATTAATTATTGCCTATTTATTATTTCTCTGCTCTCTTTCTGCTGCATTCTTTAATTTTTAAATAATTATATTATATTATATTATATTATATTAATTAATTAATTAATGGCCCCTCCTCCCCACGCAATTTGCCCTACGTACTCAGAAGAATAAGGACAAAAAATATATATTATATATTATATATATGTTTAATTATGTATTCCCTTTTACATACCTTGTTTCTATTTATAAGGACAACCTAGGAATTATAATATAGATTTTTCAGAAAAATGTTGTAATAATATATGTTCATAGGGTTTTAACTGTTAGGTTTTTGGAGATTCTAACAGAGTGGGATAGAGATATGACAGTAGCACTGATGATCTTCTTTTTCCACTGCTCTGGGTTTACAGCTACAGTATGTAGTTGCAGATCCCAAGAAATTAATTAATTAAGCATATTATATATTCACCATTTATTATTTACTTAATTCCCTATTTAATTAATCATCTTTATTGCTGATGAAATCAAATAAATGCCCATTTTAATTTGTTTGTATAAATGCATGTCCAAGAATCAAGAAATTTATTCAAGTGTGTTGAAAACAAAATTATGCAAAGAAAAATAGAAAAGTGAACATCTTTCATTTAAGTTTAGGAATATCGTTCGACGTCGTCTCATCCTTGCTTCGTCAATATTTATATGGTCGTCTAATATATATCGTTACAAACGGTATGTTTGAATTTGTAATTTGTGAGAGAAGTTTCTCATATTCTGATCTAATAATAGGGCCGGGGTTCAAACGAGCAGAGCACGAGCCGAGAGTGATAATTAAATTTGATGAGCTCTTTTTTTTTCGAGAGTTTTGGTCGAGCCCAGCTCATTTACACACCTATCTGATTAATTAATAATTGTAATTTTTAGTAAAGTTTCGGTTTAGATAGTGCATTTTCAATATACTAAAAAGCCCTCCAAACTTTTAAATAATATAATCTATGTTATAAAATCCGAGGGTATATATATATGCACGCTAATTAGGATCTTTATCTAAACGTAGTAGCTTAATGTGAGTATTGTGAGTTGTGACTACATGAATAGATGCATTCCACAACATACAAAAAGCTTAGAATTACAATACACAGAAAACTTAGTTAAAATAGATTGAACAACAAATTAAACTCAAGTCCCTTTGATGCCTACATCACCACCACCATCACTAGACAATATTACACATTTTTCCTCTTTAGTTTCCATGAACATACATTTGAAGAAATTATTGCTAATTTAGTGTCTCAATGGAGAGAAAAAAGTGTAACCCAAGATGGTGTATGTGTGTGTGTGTGATTGTGTGCGGAAAAATGTTGCGCGATGGGGGTGGAGCCAATATGAATGGTTAGCAGTGGGAATGGATGGAATGTGTGGAGAAGAAGGCGGAGTCGTTTCGTTCTTTAAAAATTGAGGAGTTAGCAAAATGACGAAATCTGTCTGTCCTAATTTGCAAATATATTACTATTTCAATGGTGTTTAACAAATTGTCCCCTTAATTAACACTATATGATATATTTTTTTTTCTTTTATCCGACAATCTTTACTAGCCTAGCTATACTACGGTTATCCATATGCTACGTCCGATAAAGGTTATCACCAGGGTGAGTTTTTACCGTTGAAATACATATACACATGCACTAATCTTGATGTGTGTGTATGTAAATGAATGGTAAAGATTTGCTCGGTGTCTCATCCGGTGTAGCATATAGTCTAAACCCTATACTACTAATGATGATGCAATTATCTATATTTATGTGAAAATTTATTTACGCATGTTTAGTAATATTTCATTAATTAACAGTAATAATAATTCCTTAACATCAATGTGTAAGAATAAATAGGCCAGCCAGCATGTATAATTACATTGTAGCCAAAACTATATATCCATGTCTATAATGTGTTATATATAACCTTAATTCTTACACAGCTCATCATCTTATCCAGCTGGGAATTATATTTTTAGCATTATATTTTTGAATCACCATCTCCTTGGACCACCACTTTAATTCAACCGTTATAATTAATGCCATTTTTTAAATTATTTTGTTAGTTATGCAAATTAAAAGTCACAACTAGTTATTTTGTTAATTATTTCGTTTATTATCTATTAATAGTTATTTACTTAATTAATATTGGAAATCAATGAAATTAATTAATAACAAAATTAATTTTTCTAATTGCGATTGGCTAATTAAACTCTCAAAAACTAGACTCAACTATCACTAAACTCTCTAATTAAACTCTCAAAAGAAGAATATAACTATTAATTAATTAAGCTCTTCAATTAAGTTCTCAAGCTTGTTCAAATTAAAATAGTCAACTTATCATGATATATGAGCAAACTTGGCTATATTCTCAAAAACAACAAATACCTAAATATTGTCAGCATGATTTCGATCATTTTTCAGCATGACCTCGACTCAGTGACAACGTTCTAAATTATTAATACAATAGTGTAATATTCCGCTAAATTAATAGAATTTTGTCAGTACCTACTGTATTAATTTATAGAAGATTAAATGTAGTACCATTATAAATATATATAATTAGTCGATGAATTTAGAATACGTATACATGTTCAGATTTTCAAGAATAATCTCTCATACCGTTTTTTTTATTTTTTCTATTTTTTTTTTAATTTATTTATCACATAACAGATTCTATAACTTGAAATTATAATTCTTGTGGCACTGTGTATATATACTAGCTTTAGGTGCAGCTCATAATACTAAAGAATACTACTAATATTAATGATATATATACATAGTGTGGCTAGATTAATTAAGATGTAGACCCTTTCTAATTTCATGAATCTAGCATCAATTTATTTTTTCTCCCATGTTTTTTTTTAAATAATCCAAGAACAAAACATATTAATTAAATTTTAATTTTTCCTTTATATCAGTTTCTAACAAATGTTTCAATTGAACGAACCTGTCAACTTTTCTTGAAATTTTCCAAGCTCTCTTTCTGCATTAATTCTGTACTTCACGAAAAATACTGAATTATAAAAGTCGATTGTCGAACTCACATAACCTAATTTATACATAATATGTTCGTACATTCTACATCGGACGTCTGTATAAAACAATTGAAAAATATAATAATATAGAACTAATTACATAAACATTAAATATAATGGTTAATTACTTATATATAAGTGTACATATTTAAGGTTTAGACTATACACCATTCTAATGAAAGAAAAACATGAACTGCTTAGCAAGATATTTCTTAGTTCTAATTAGGTCAGAGAACCAGAAAACAAACAAACTGTACAAAAGTTAGTTAAAATTCTGTCTATTTACATTAAAAAAAATTCTGTGACCTCCCACCCCCACCCCAGTAAAAAGGGCAAAAGGAATAAAAGAACCAAAAATAAAAATAAAAAAATAAAAATAAAAAAAATAAAAAACCCTAAAATGGTACAAGTTGATTGATGCAATCTCACTGCAAAATTTTCTGTGTGGTCCTCTGAGTACTAAGCAGAGAAGCTTTAAAGAACCTCCTAAATTGGTCCCTCCTCTATAACTTATTATATCTTCAATAATCTCATCCAGCTAATTTTTTTTTTTTTTTATTTCAATTTCAATTTCATTAATTATTTTTTTCAACTTTAATTTAGCATGTGTTAATTAATTAAAACAATGTAATTAAATTTATTCATCAATTATTGTCCCATCTATATGTTCATTAATTCAGAACTAAGAACAATTCGTGCATGCAGCATTAAATTAAAAGTAGTCGATCTTTCTAATAACGTTCGATCTTTTTCATTAGTTTAAGCAAATGATGCCCTAATTGTGTGTTTTTTTAATGTGTGTTCGAGGTGAGCGTGTAGGCATGCAGACTTTTTTCGTAATGAAGTTTTATGCTGATAAAGCTATTTATTTGCAGTTGGCAATATATAAAGCAGTAAGTGTAGCTACTAGCTAGGTTGGTCCCGTACGTAATTTGAAGTTATAAAAAAAGTCTATTTATCTTAACAACAATTTATTAGCATCGAAATATGCAACCGGAAAAAAAAACATTACCTTATTTTCAAGTCACGAAATTTTGCCAACTATGGTTGAAAGTGTAATAGAGTTATTAATTATTCGATGAAAAAAATTGCGTATACAATACTCGCCTAAAAAATCATGTGTCGTTACGCGTAGAAGCCACATGGTCGCAAATGCGCCATTCCTTTTCGTTCTTTTAATTCCCCCTTTTACTTTCCTTTGCAACATGGGAGTGGGTATAATATTCTATCATCATCTTCATCTTCTTCTTCTTCTTCTTCAGCTAGGTTGAAACTTTACAAAGTGCGCGCGCGTGCGTGCGTTTGTGTGTGTGTGTTCTCTTCTACTGTTAATTCTTCAACCTCCATAGTTTGTGCAGCTGGTAAAGAAAGGAGATCGATCGAATTCAGGTTTGATCAACAAGAATTAATTTGTTCTTTCTTTCTTTCTTTTCTTTTTCTTTTTTTTTTCTCCGATTTCTCTGAATTTTCACCGGAAATGTTGAAATTAAGTTATGTCTATGAGTTCCATTATAAAATATATATTTGACATTATTTTTCATAATTCTTAAATATAATTTGACCTAGAAATTTTCTTGTTGTAGTTTGCAGCAAACCTAATTTCTTGTTACTCCAGCTCATTATTTTTAATTACATTTTAATTTTTTATTTTGACAACAATCTAAGCTTAGATTTGTTGCAGTAAATCTTCATATTTCCTCTTTCTTTCCTTTTCTTTTTCTTTTTTTTTTAATATATTTATTTTAATTTGCTAAAAATGGTAAAAATATGGTTTAATTTGTTGCAGATCAATTTTAATGAAGCAAGTAGAATAAGCATGACAATGAATCCGAAAGAAAAAGATTTCCTCGCAAAGAAAGAATTATGCGGCGACGGAAACAACAAAAAAATCATCGCTACTAGTACTATACCATCTTCATCGAGACAATGGTCCTCGACTCACAGAAACCCAAGAATCGTACGTGTCTCCCGTGCTTTCGGAGGCAAAGACAGACACAGCAAAGTGTGCACCGTTCGAGGATTGAGAGATCGACGGATCAGATTATCCGTACCTACAGCTATCCAGCTCTACGACCTCCAAGACCGGCTCGGCTTGAGCCAGCCGAGCAAAGTCGTCGATTGGCTAATCGAAGCCACCATGAATGATATCGACAAGCTCCCTCCTCTCCCTATGTTGCCCACAAACTTCCCTCAATTCCACCATCAACCAATTACTATCGACAACCAATCGTCGGCTAACAACACTACCAACCAATCCTCTCTATCCCATTTCCTCGCCTCGAATTATCCGTTCGCAAGGCTCGACAAAGAGCGCGATCAAGAAAATCAAGAAAACGATATCCAAGAGGGTTTTGGGGGAATATTTGCACAGAATCTTTTTCCGTTGACCAATATCAACAGTCAATCTTCTTTCGCGAATTTGCCGTTCAATAACGCGTATAATTTCCATTGGGATCCGGCGAGTTTATCTTTGTCGCAATTCGGAGGAGGGTATTCTTTTACGACGAATCAAACGGCTGTTGATGAAGAAAACAATAATAACAATCTTTCGAGTAATAATTCTCAGCTGTACTTCTGCCCTTCGGCATCGAACATAGTACCTTCCGTTATACCGAATAATTCCCGAACGCATCGTACATGATGAAAACCCTACTTCGTCGTCGTTAATGGATAATATCCACCAAAACCAACTTCTTCCCACAGCCCTTCATCTGAAGAACTTCCCTATGAATGTGGGAAACGACGAAAACGAAAGGCCCGGGAAAAACGACAGGAGTTAATGTTTCTTGAAGACAGTGAGATTTGATCTTCTTACATGTTTTGGAAGAGACAAAGGGTTTTCTGATCATGGTATTGTTGTTATTATTGCAGCTTCAGAGATGATTGGAATGCCATATAGTAAGGGATTCTTGATTCTTTCTGCATTTTATATTTATATTTTTATATTTATATACCGAGTGATATTATTTTTGCAAGAGACATATATATTTATATTTATTACACTGGAAATGTGTGGTTAATATATTTAGTATACTTGTATATGTACTTACATAAAGTTACATTTGTCAGGTTTTAATATATGTTATGATATATTGTTTGGAATAAGTTTGTGTGAATTGATTTGTGTCAGCATTTTTTTTATCCTCCCAGATTTTTAATGTTATTTTCTTTTCATTAAAACTTATATTAATTTACTTTATTATATTACAGGAAGAGAAAAAAAAGACAAAATATAAATAGTCTGTTTCTCAACCTAATGGAGATACTAAAGGTATTTTATAAGCTTAAGATCCATAATTTTGCTGCAAGCTCTTCTTTCTATTTATTTTCATGCTGAATTTGTCAAATTCAGGTTTATAGTGTTTATTGATTTATACAATTTATGTGTCTAGTTTATGATGTCCCTGTTGCTTTTTTTTTTTCCCCAAAACTTTTCCATAGTGTTTTTTAACATGATTTATTAATTGTGTTTAGGGGTGAAAGTTGGCACGGAAATTCCAATTTCCGTCGGTTACGATATGAAAAGTTCTGATTTTGGAACAACTTTTTTTCATTCCGATTTCAAAAATTTCCAATGTTTTTTTATTGGAATTGAGATTATATAAAAGAAATTGGAATTTCCGATCTCTGATCCGATTTAATTTTCGAAATTAATTTCGAAAAAAATCCGATGTTTTTTTTTTTAAAATACACGTATAAATAATATATGTTACATATTACTTATTTTACATAATGCAAAATAAATTAAATATTTAATTATATTTGTAACTTATGGGTCAGGTGATCAAAAGACTTTCTTCTGCTATATTTTTACGTTATGGTTCATGTCACCTACAAAAAACCATAATTTCTGGTACAAAATCATAATTTCTTATGTTTATCTTTTATTGTGCAAAGTGCCATAGTATGATGGAAAATTGATTTTTTAAAAAAAACTAATTAGATTTAAGTTTTATTTTGCCATTTTGAGATATTGAATTGTTACTAAACTTTTTACTGGATATTATGATGTTGTTTATAATTTCTAAACTGATGTTTTTTAATTGACTCCTAAATAAAAGTAGATGTGAAATTTTCTACAATATAATGTTTGATGTCCTCCGACAACAAAATTATTCAAAACATGAATAATTTTGGATATAGTAATTTATAACATTTTTATTTTTCATACTATATAATAAATCAAATATCAACAAGAATATTATTCTTTTTCCATAAATATACTTTATTATGAGATAATAGAAAAAAAAAGAAAGAGCCTAGATTGATCTCATTACCCATTCTAGAACTATTGACTCATTAACATAACTACAATAAGTACATTTTAAATGATAATTATACGATGGTGACACGACGTCGTTTTCAGTCACAATGAAATTAGAACGACATATTTGAATTTTCAATTATACGATGACGACACGACGTCGTTTCGAGTCACAATGAAATTAGAACGACGCCGTGTGATTTGATTTTTACTGATACGACGACGACGATGACGACATCGTTTCGAGTCACAGTTGAATTAGAACGACGCCTTTTCAGCGACGGTGCTTCACAAAATTCTAACGGAAGACCAGAGAAATTCAGATTATAATACAAGAATTTAATTAAAGAAAAAATGATTACTTAAATAAATAATTAAAATATAGTGGATTATATGGATTATCCATATAGCTCCTTTAATTCGGACCACTGCAAACGTTTGTGTCTGATCATTTACTTTTGTAAGACTGTTTTGGAAAAATGGTTGAGTAACAGATTAAAGTCATATATCCATTTTTGTTGTGCACAGCTTTTTAAGCCATATTATATAATTCCAAGTTCTAAACAATCCAACATGAATTTCAACATTTCAGAATAAAACAAATATTGGAAAAATAAAATACATAAGAAATTATACATACATATATTTTCCTTTATATTTCCACACAAATGTATTCGAAATTAATATTATTATTTACTATCAATTTGTAGTTGATCAATAAATAATATAATGAATTAGGGAAATAACAAAAATATCTGGAAGTTTATCATTCAAACATGTTTATAACTTTTAGAAATTGCAAAATGGCCCATAAGGTGTCCGGCAGATGTCGCATCCGATGCGAAACGTAACGTTAAGAAATTGAAGTTTCCGTGCTACATAGATCAAAAGATAACGAAATAATGCCAAAAAAAATAAAAAATAAAAGATTACAAATATAATGAACTAGAAAACTTTGGTGTGGTCCTAACTCCGACATCAATTAATTTGAATAAGCACTAGATGTCGTCGATAATGTACTCGTAATTAATTAATAATATATCACCTTAATTACGGCATGCTCGACCTAATTAATGACAATATATAAAACATATGTACAGACAGTACCTATAAACTATAATTAACTAAACAAGCTATATATAAAACCCTAGAAAGAGTGTGAAGCCAAAAAAAAGGACAAGATATATAAAACACACACACACACACACACACATTATGGAGTGTATATATATATATATGCATGGTTTGATGATATATGAAAAGGAAAGAAGATAAAACTTAAAAAGAGTGATAGACGGAGAACCGTGACTCTAGTACTGGCGATGCCATGAGTTTGCAAGATCCCAAGATAATTTAAACAACACAGTGCCATGTTGTGGCTGACGAGGACACGCCTCTCATAAAGTTTCAAAACCTTTATTTCCATTATTGTGGTCCTAATTTATTGATTAATTAATTATTATTAGGGGTTTACTATTCATACTGCATTTTTTTTTTCATTTGCAGTGCGATTTACACGAAACACATGCTTCGATTTTGTGAAATCTTCACCAAACAAACCGAAAATTTGTAAATTCCTTTATTTCGTGCTATGAAGCATGAAATGAAGAAGTCCATTTCATACTTTATAGCACGAAACAAAGGCGATTTTTTTTTTTTTTTGATTAATCATAAACTTATTTTAATTGATGTAATTTGTTAACTAAACAACAACAAAACTTTAAAATTACGTAAAGAAGTAAATTTTATCTCAATTTTTTGTCGAAATTGCTCGTTTAATTAGCGAGAGTTCGAAGAGGGTTTGAGAGGATTTTGGTTTTTTGAATAAAAGTTACAAATGAAATAAAGTCGCACTCATGTAAGCCAGTAAAATACGCACTATGATCAGTATTTCAGCTAATATTAATACCAAAACTTGTACGATATAAGTATATATTCATACACTCCTACATAAGGTGAACGGGCCGTTGAGTCACCATGATTTACATTCCTCCATCAAATACTTGTCGGACCAAGGGATGAGGGCCCTGAGGGCGAGGGATTTTGCTTTTTGGTACAAAATTGGAACAAAAAATTTCGAATTCCATCAATTTCGATATGAAGATTTTTTAATTATGTAATAATATTTTTTTTTAATTCCGAATTCTGAAACTTCTGATTTTGTAATAACTTTTTTCATCCCAATTTAGTTTTCAAAATTTTGATTTCTGATTTCTCTGATTTTTTTTCAACGGAATTGATATTAGTTTTTCACTTTCGTAAAGAATTGAAAATTTCGAAAGTGCTAATTTCCAATTGTACATGTCTGATTTTCGTTCCTATGAATCAATGGTTTACGGAGGTTCGTTGACCGCTTTAATAAGTATTTTGAAAAAAAATAATTATGTATTTAATTTTCTACTTAAAATAATAAAAGTAAAATAAAAATGTGCCAATGATACCCCACTTGAAACTCCATAACCCTAGAAATTATGCATTATGAGTGGGTATTTTAGGTTTTATCGGATGAAATACACTAGAGTACATAAATAAATATAGAAACTATATATTAATTGAAGACAAACTAACAAAAAGATGCAGTGCAGTCTCCACTGGGGTCCACCCTTGTATGTTGGATGACAAAAAAACTCGATCCGATCCGTTCGCTACACATGGCTATTCGTTCCGCCACGGTATTCGTATGGTTATAGTTTCACCCTCTAGGTTATGGGGTACGTACGCGTTGTTTGGATAGTAGACTAAAAGCCTCGCTTTTATCTATATAAAAAAAATATTTTGAATAAAGGTTATTCATTTCATTCATTTGCGAGAATCAATGCATGTGTGTTTCAAGTACTTTTAGTTAGATATTGATTAAAATTGTCAATTAATTAAATGTACAAATCTATTATTCTACTAGTATTCAAAATGGTGTGCTACTTATACGGCGCACATAAAGATCGTTTCAAAAGTTCGTTTAGAATATAAAGATTAAACTTTCACAATTTAGATGGAACTTGACTAATTTTATTGGTTAAAGATTATAGCGCAGTATTTTAGTGATTGGTCTTGATCACGGTAAATAGAGAATAGCTTTTTGTAGTTATCTATTTGACTTATTGTGTTTGCACATCCGACATGTGTTGAACATGACAAAGTGAAATAAAATTTAAATTTTCATCACTGATTAAATATGAAACTATATTAGTTCTAGTTTACAAGAAATTACTTAACCTCTTAATCCCTAGATAATTAACATACACGTTTAGTTGGTGATCTCTAAAAGATGTCACAGTGGGAGAGATTCCTATATTAAGTCAAATGAGCTCCAGTGCATTGTAGAGACAGTAAGAATTAATAGGTGAAAATTAATTATCGAAAGGAATTCGCATCTCTGAAATATGGGATTGAATGATAACCCTTCAGTAGCTTATGAGTTTTTTTTTATGTCAGAAACCCGTTTGAGTGGATTTCTTGTCTAACATACACAAATAAATTAAGTGGGAAATATATATATATATATATATATATATATATATATATATATATATATATATATATATATATATATATATATATATATATATATATGTGTGTGTGTGTGTGTGTGTGTGTGTGTGTGTGTGTTGTTGTATAACGGCGTGAAATCATATGAAATAATCTTTGTATCATCTAGATTTGCGCATTGAAATATTTAGCACAAAGAAGAAAGAATTCATTTGCAACAATTTTAATGTGTAAAATGCTAGATGCATTTTATCGACAAAATGACAACTTGAAATTATTATATATATGTTGCAAATAAGTACAAGAGAAAATGTCCAAGAAGGACACATTGCATATTAGATTTTTCCATAGAAGG